TCTGGGTTGGCTTTTTGGCTTTATTTTGGTTTGGGGATTCGTAAGGGATTTGGGAGGATTGGTGTGAGACCACTGCAGTTCCTTATCGTGGGTTTTTATAAAGTTACTGGAAGTTGGGGTTTAGTGTTCAGCCCCACGATCTAAATCCACAGGGTAGACTGCAACCCAAACCGCCAAAAACCCTGAACCACTACTACGGCGGTGCAAAGCCGTACTCGTTGCTTTATCTAGGGTTTCGGGTTTTCGGGTAAGGGGGCCTCTATATTGGATTTCCTCGAATTAGAAGTCCCGAATCCTCCAAATCCGAAATCCGAAACCTTGAGCTAATATTAATTAGATACTGAAACCTACACCCGTCGAACGAAGCACACATTCCCTTGAAACAACAAACCCTCGCAGTCCTGGGCTGGAAGCTTGGAAGGGTTGGGGTTACAGAAATAGATCTTGCACTGCAGCTCGGTTACTAGATGCAGTATAGATAGTGCACTGGAGGGAGGATTAGGATTCCATGCATGAATGCTGAAATCTTCGGACTTTACGAAGTCAGGATTTGGATCTTGCACTTTTGCGCTCAGTTGGCGACACAATTCCAGGGATCGCCGTTCCGAAACAGGGCATCTAGCATAGGAAGCTTATGATCTAGATTAGGGTTCCGGGTTCCTGATCAGAGACATCCGGGTGCTTAAGGGTTTTGGTTTATCGGGGTCGGCTCTTTCGGCGATGCCGGCTTCTGCGGCTGCACTACGATAGCAAAACTCGCGATCTTTGCGAACGCCGCTTGCTCTGAAACTGGTTTGGGCGCCAAATGCGCTTGGATTTCAGGGATGCAACATCGTGTCGTAGCCTGACCACGAGATTAAGCATATTTGTTGGAGGGAACGTTTACCAACTCTAACAAAACCGTATACCCTAAATCCCTAAACCCCGAAACCCTAAACACCGAATCCCTAAACCCTAAACCCCTAAAGCCCTAAACCTTAACAAAATTTGGTTGCTCCAGTTCTGCCAGGGCACGTGATGTACCACTTTTCCAACCAGGAGTCTTCTAGGTTGTCGGGCTTGCACTGTTGTGCAATGCCTTGGCTCGGAACTCTATGTACTTTGCCGGCTTTAGGGTTTGGGTTTAGGGTTTAGGGTTTAGGGTTAGGGCTTTTGGGGCCTTTTCAGGATTTTGTGGCTCAGGGGTTTTGGGGTTTTGAGGCTTAGGTCTATATTTCTTGCAACCACCACTGGTTCACCTTGCCCCATGCTAGACTCGACTAAACATTAACTTGGACCAATTTGAAGCTAAATCATGCCTAGGTTCGCTTCGCGTATTGCATCGCTCCTTCATCCCTGTAGGTGTGATAAAACCTACAATTGTACAATTCGGCCCGCATAGAGCGTGCCAAGTGGTGGTACAGATGGTGCTTCGGCCGTAGCTGCCACGCCATCCTGGGCAGCAGGTGTTCTCTTGGGGTGGTTTGGGGGCTGCACATCGATACGAACACACCCTGGCGACCTCGAAACTTAGACGGGTTCTCGTGGTTGTCGCCTGCGAGCTTCGCCAGTTGCAGATAGCAGCGCAAATGGGTCAGTGTCCATTCGTGGAGGCTGTCGGCTTCCTCACATCGGAACAACTTGAACGAATATACACTATACACATACGTACTACCACGAAACAAAAATGGGGATGCTGTGCCATTGGGAAGGATCCGACTGACTGAGGTACCTTCCACACTTCTCTAGGTCGCAGTACCAGGCATGCAAGGCATATACACAGTTGTAGGTGAGCGAGATGCGCTCTGTGGGATGTTTCTGGAAGGCTTTGCTGCATTCGTCCGCCAGCCAGCTTGTGATGACTCTGGAGTTGTATGCCTGAGTTTCTTTTCGACTAGCATCATGAGCAGAAGGTTTAGCGTAGTAGCATCATGAGCATCCAGCCCCAGTGAGTAGGTGACAAAATTGAAACTTATACAAGTGGTACCAAGATGCTTTGGTGGCAAAGTAGCAATACTCGTCTCCAGACGTGATATACATCCAGCTTTTAAACGGTGGTTGCGAGCACTGAATCTTGTGTTTCCTGGTAAACTCTTTGAAGGAAATAAACGCATGTCTCAACTTCGTCGCCTTGTCGTTGCCGGGGAACCACCCCAGTTTGAAGAGCTCAAAGAAAACCCCACCATGGCAAAAAAGGGCGATACCCAGGTTGATTGCATGGACAGAACAAAACCTGATAAAGTCGTAGTGGAATTTTGCGGTGTAGATCAAGGAGTTGATCGGTTCATTGATCTGTTCTGATAAAAACTGAGCATGGCTCCTGGTTGTTGTCGCCCATGCCGGCTGCTGTGAAAAGTCTGTATACGGAAATTGTGGATTGGTTTTCGAGGCCCTGCAGCAGTGGCATATGTCGTTGCAAGCCCAATGGCTTACCAGTTTGAATGCCCGAGCATGATGTTTCCAATCGCCGCGCAATTCCACGAGTCTAAATTTGTAGCCCTGGTACATAGGATCCCCAGGCTTCATGTCGGGCCCCAAGCTTCGCAAGTCATTTCCCCCCAAATTCTTGGATGGGAAAACTCCCGTATACATACAGTTAATACTCCAGGCAATGTAATCAAACACTGGGCCGATTGTATCATAGCTAAATAACCTTTCGGAGCGGATGGCGAAGATCGGGAAGCGACTGCCAAAAACAGACTTGGAACCCTCGTAAAGTGGGAAACCTTGCATCTAGCCAGATTCTCGATTAAGTTTACCTGACAACACAACCTTAACATATAATAGCTATTCCTACGAACCCAACCAAAGAAATATGCACACATCCTGCAAAGCGGCTGATGTAAAGCACCAAGATTTGCTCCTTCGTGATGCTGTACTCCGCCTCATCCCCATAGAGGGCCAACGGCACGAAACCCTTTGGGTCGAACCCTTCCATCCAAGGAGCCTTCACTCTCTGGAAATGCAGCCAGAAGCGCTCGCAGGCAGGTCGGTCGATGGTAATCTTGTTCGTCCGAAGCAAGTAATGCGTCAGTAAATGCGGAGCGATGACTGGAAAGTTCATTTGGGTTGTCTCGTCGCACTTATTCTTGGGATCCGGTCGGGCTCGCACTGTCAGGCTGATGCTGTCCACTGGTTCCAGAGCCTCACTGATTACATGACCCATTGATGCAAAGGCTTTCGATTACTAGGTTTCGACATTATACATTATAATGCCAACCCAGAGAAAAGCTATAGCTAAGAGAGGTCGAGAGGCGGATCCCCCTATTGTCTTGTGCACACTGCCGTGGCCACGCACATCCCGCCACATGTTTTGCTGGCAAGCACCCCTAGCACCACATGCCGCGAGGCTTTCAACGGAGACCGGCGTCGCGGAGCCGAACTCCTGATGCACAGATCAGTTAAATGGGTCTTGCTCGGTTTTCTCGTTTATGGATTGTAGCGTCGCTTTGGGGGCTACCGTAGGTTTAGGGTTTGGGTTTCGGGATTCGGAGATAGGTTTAATTAAGGACGATACGAGGAATAGAAATTTGGCTTGGGCTCCTTTATTTGTCGGGCGGCTTGAGTCGAGATTGCTACTGGGCCCCATACATAAACGAATCATTGTCAGCTTCAAACTTCAGAGCGTGCTGCCAGACTCGGAACAGTCCGATGTAGGAGTCTGAGCCACTCCGAACTTCGAAACAACACCAGGGATCCCTTGAACCCGAAAATCAAAATGACCTTAATGATTGAAGCCGATCGAAGTAATTGCCGAGTATCTATTGACACGCAGTCAGCCAGCTCTTGAGCAGTGGAGGCACTCCATTCCTTCTGTTTCGCTTGGGGTTTTGCTCTCAGGTTTAGGTGGGTTTGGGAAGTTAAATTATATAGCTACGTATAGAACTGGGACAAGCTAGTAACAAGCTTCTCGTGGATGACGCTTTCGCAACTCGGACACGGCCACAAGTCTCTAGGGTTGTGTGTTTGGGGTCGCAAGTGTCTATCGATTTACAGCACCTTTGGTTCCACAAGAATATAAGACTAGGGGATTGGGTGCTTTTCCGAGCTTTGGACTTTGGGGGGTTTTGGGCTTTGGGTTCCATGATCAGTGGTTTTGGAGCGTAGTTGGTCCGTTTTGGGTGTTGGGTTTTCGGAGTTTTGGTGGCTTTTGAAATTTTGGGCTTGGGGTTTCACGTGTTTTGGGGGTTGGAGAGTTTGGGGCTTCGGTTTTTAAGGTTATGGGGGTTTTGGAGAGTTTGGGGCTTTGGGTTTTGGGGCTTTAGTGCTCTTGGGAGTATTTTGGATTTTGAATTTTGGGGCTGTCGGATTTTTTTTTAGGAGCTTGGGGCTTTGGAGGGTTTGGGCTTGGGGTGTTGAGGGTTGTTACGGAGTTTTGGGCTCTGGGGGATTTGGTCTTGAAATGGGTATCACAAAGCAGCTTTGGGCTTGAGGGGCTTCGTGGTTTTGGGAGATTTGGGATGAATTTGGGATTATATCTTATAATGGGATTGTTTAGGGACTTTGGGGCTTTGGGGGTTCGGGCTTTGGGTGTTCACGGTTTTCGGGGTTTAGGGAATTTTCGGCTTTGGGGTTTTATAAATTAGGCAGCACTAGAAACTGGTGTTCGAGCAAGTTGCACCTGCACCGATTCCGGCCAGCAAGCGCTCGCGAATCACGCCGGGCACCCCTGCGTAGCGAGGTCCAGTTCGAAAGCTTGAGTTGCATACTTTAATGCTTCGAAATCCAGCACTCAAACATACGGAGTCTCAGCAACTTTTCCTCGATTCATGGGCCCAAGCGATGCTCGGTGATGCCGGCCAGCCAGTCTTAAAAATGCTCCGGACACAAAACTCGACACACCACACAGACTGCTCATGATGCTCTGGCCCGCGTGCTCCCCTTTAAAGTGCCTAGTTTGATGGCTGTTAAGGTTCCCAGGCTTTCGAAAGTAGTCGAATGTTGCACTGGCAGGTTCTAGAGAGCCTCTGCAGTCACAGGTGCGCTAACCCCACCGGAGGCTATCCTAAAGAGCTGCCATCTTAGGCAGCGGCTTTGGCCTTTGCTTTGCCTTTGGCCTTTGGGGCCGGACGAAGCGTGCGCTTGACAGCCTTCATCTTTTCATCATACACGGCAAACGATGCTTTCAGCAACGTGTTCAAGGTCTCGATCTCGGCCTCATCTCGCTTTGTCGTGACAGCAGACTGCAAAGCCGTATGGCGGTCCTTCATCTGCTCGATGTCATTAGCCATGTCGGCCACCATCGCTTTTGCAAATGCGTCACCCCTGAGCAACACATGCACTAGACTTCGAAATTCTGTTGTATCAACCCCGAAACCCTGTCTGTCGGAGGATTCATAGGCTTTAGAATTTTCATGGTTCAGGGTTGATATAATTAGGGTGTTTGGAGAAAGTGATGATAATCCAAGGTACATGCCATTTCTGCGGAGCATGCTGTCCATGCCGTCCGCCTCGATGATCCGCGGGGTGCCCTTCCGCAGCAAATCTAAAGCCTCCTCCTCAGGGTTCTTCACCTTCTTCTCTTTCTTGGGCTTTACCTCTCTCGGGGGAGGAAGGTTCTCCCCACCCGGCGGGGGCGGATCATTGCTGCCTCTAGCACCGGCACTGTTGGGGACATCGAGAAGATGCGACCTTGAACTTGTCAATTTAAATGCAATCTTGCAATTGAGTAAACACAGAAATCCTATTCTCTTGAGAAATCGTAGGTGCATAGGTTTAGGCAAAGCACAGCACCCCGGTGGTCCCCGCATGGTCGAGGGAAGCATCAATGTGGGCACCGAACTCCAACTCGTCTTCGGACTGCGAAACCTCTTCCCTCGAGTCAAAGCACTTGAAGAGCTCCCAGTCCTGGCATGTAGGGTTAACGGGAGCAGGGTATGTTTTGATATCGTAATTCAATTGGTGAGGATGTATTCCATTGGTGGTTTAGGGCTTTGGGGTTCAGGGGTTTAGGGTTTAGGGGGTTTAGGGTATAGGGTTTAGGGATTTAGGGTTTAGGGGGTTTAGTGTTTGTAGTTTCAATTCGTGAGGATGATGTATTCAATTGGTGGCTTAGGGCTTTAGGGTTTAGGGCTTTAGGTTTAGGGGTTTAGGGTTTAGGGGGTTGAGCGTTTGTAATTTCAATTGGTGAGGATTTCCTTCCTTCTGAATTTGGTGCAGATGGGCTTACGGGCTGCGGCCCACCTCGTTCTTGGGCTGGTCGGGATGCACTTTCCACCATTTCCCCGAGGCGTTGGGGTCCATGGCTTTCTTATTGGTACGGATGTCCTCCGCGATAGCTGTTCCATGCCTGGATGGTTGGCTCCAGAAATCATGGTAACAAATTAAATTCTGAGGGTTTGAGGGCTGACCCTTTATGGTTAATCAGGGCATTTAGGGCTTGGGGTGTTCCTGAGAACGTATTGCTGATGGGTGGCTCGCTCTTCAGCAAATCGAACCGCTTCCAGATGTGCTTGCCAGTCCTTTTAGCCTGGTGGCGCTTCTTAGCGTTCATAACGATTGAACTTTGCATCCAATCACATCCGCTGCTGATCCACATCTCGTACATGTGGCGCATAATCGAGGTTGAGCGGCTCTTGCCGGCCTGCGTGAGCGCCTTGGCTCTCACCTCCGGTGGGCAATTCGGCGAGCCTCGGATTGACAACTCGAGGGCTGATAACTTTTAGGTGTTATGCATGTTTCGTCTCAAGAAAGAATTGATCTAGATCTAGAGAGGAACACTACTCTAAACCCCAAGCCAAATCTAAAAGAACCTTAACTCTAAACCCCTAAACCCAAAAAAACCGTATTATAAAGTTTATAGAGTATCAGCCAGTCGGCGCAAGCTGCGAAAGTATCGCATGTAGGAGTTATGGGCCTCACGTGCTTTGCGGTCCTCCTCGGATTCGTTCGCACGATCTGGCTTGTTCTGCGGTTTCCGTGCTGACTCTGTTGGGACCTGGTCTGGCTCGGTGCCTGACTCCTGCTTCACATGGATGGCACTTGCTGCTGGGGTTGCTGTCGGCTTCGGGGTCTCTGTGGGCTTCGCGGCTTCGGTTGTCTGTGGCACATGTGCTGCTGGCACACTTGCTGTCGGCTCTGGAGTCTCTGTGGGCTTCGCGGCTTCGGTTGTCTGTGGCACATCTGCTGCTGGGACACTTGCTTTGGCTGCTGCTGTCGGCTCTGGGGTCTCTGTGGGCTTCGCGGCTTCGGTTGTCTGTGGCACATCTGCTGCTGGCACACTTGCTTTGGCTGCTGCTGTCGGCTCTGGGGTCTCTGTGGGCTTCGCGGTTTCGGTTGTCTGTGGCACATCTGCTACTGGAACACTTGCTGTGGCTGTTGCTGTCGGCTCTGGATCTGTGGGCTTCTGTGGCATCTCCACATCATTCTGATCCGCTGCTGGCACACTTGCTGCTGCTGGGTGTGCTGCCGGGCTTGGCGTGGGTGCACCCGCTTTTGCTGCAGTGCCTGCTGTCAGCTGCTCCGTCAGTGCCTCGATGTCGCAAGTTGCGGGTCGTCGAAGCATGCTTTCTATCATCTGTGCACGTGCTTCGTGTTGGTCAGGTGGCGAGGCAAGCAGTGCTTGCAGCAGGTGTTGCATGGCCTTTGCTTTCATTTCTGCGTCATGTGCCCTGTTAGTGGCCTGTTCAAGCTGCTCGTGGTCGTCAATCAGCTTTTCCAACTGCTGCTCGAGATCGTCACCCTGTTTCTTCTCGGTCTTGCTGTTTGGCTCGCTGTTAACCCAAGCCTTTGCATTTGCCTCAGTGCAAGAGGCAGCAGCAAATACTCCTCCGCCCGAAGCCTCCGCTCTTGCACTGGCAAGTCCTGCTGTTACCGTAGCAGTAGCCACTGGTGTTGGCGGGGAGGAGTTCCCGGCCTTAGGCTCTGGATCCACAGGCTCAGTTGCCTTGTCGCATGCCGGTGGGGCTGGTGTGGGAAGGATTTCGGCTTGCAGTGTCGGCGCTTTTTCCGGATCGGGTTCCGGAGTCGGAGTGCTTGTCGCCCGGGCAGCGGCAGCACTAGGCTTCGACACAAACTTCATGAAGCACTGCACCCCACAGAAGATTTGCGATCCCTGCTCACAGTGTTAGCTGAGTTCATTAATTCATCATACAGCTATAGTAGGGGAAGCGATCTACTACCAGTATAAGTCTACACGGAACTATGTATCCATTAGAAAGCAAAAACAACATTAGTGAACAAGCCAAAGTATGTCTAAACCCCTATCTTAAAGCTATTGTAAGTCGAAACCCTTCTAAATATATAGTTGTTTCTTCATCTGTAGGTAGGCCTGCTTGATGGTATCAGCCGCAGAGCAGCTGGAGTTGCAGAGGCCGCAAATGTTCTGCAGCTCCTGCGCGGTACACTTCCAAGCCAACTTCAACCCCTAAGCCGTAAGCCGGCCGATCGCGATAAACAAAACCTGCCAAGAGCCGGGGCACCCAGTGTGCACAAGACAGCAAGCTAGCCAATAATCTTTCAGCAGGGCCTGTCAATAACCTTGTGAACCTCTGAAATGCAGACACATTGGATAGGCTGACAACTCAGATGATGGATTGGCGGGCTTATTCGGATTATAGTTTAATACAGGTACCAGATGGGGTCCTTCTTCTCAGACATCGGCTCATCAAGCTGTGTTTCCTCCAGCATGGTGCCGCTGAGGTCTTGAGAGAGTCCTGACACATTGGGAATTGCCAGAAATCCTTCCGAAGGATCCTAAACCCTAAGCCCTAAACCCCAAACGCTAAACCCCTAAAGCCCTAACCCTAAACCCCTAAACCTAAACCCTAAACCCTTATAATATCTAAAGGTCTGTCCTTTCCCCAGGCTCATCTCTGCCATATACTGATTAAGACTGATCGTAGTCGAAGTATCAGAGTGTTTGGGCTTGGATGACCCGGACCCAGAGAAGCTAGGAAGGCTCGGGACCTCACTCAATCCCAAGGACGTGGTGGAGTCACCGCGAAGCCGCTTGGCATCTGGAGACTTCAGTGGAGTACTGCTGGTAGACATGGGGCTCGGGGCTGGTGGTGCCCTTGAGGAGGCGGTGCCGTTCGGGGCTTGTTCCGGAGTCGTCTTCGGTTCAGGAGCCGGGGTGCTTGCAGCACGGGCGGGAGTTGCTTGTGGGCGAGGAGGGGCTTTGGGTCCAGGCTTCGGCTTGCCATGCAAGTTCACTGCACGATCAACCATGGCCTGCACTCTAGCCGACACGGGGGTCGGCGATGCGCCTGCATCGCCACGTTTTCCCATGATGGCACACAAAGCCCCAAGAATAAAACCGCTTGATCAAGAACTCACGACATGTCGCAATTGAGGAGTGTGGTGGCTCTGGGTCTTGCCAGCAAACCGTGCCCTCTGAAGGATTCCCCTGTGGTTTGGGGTTTAGCTTTAGGGTCTAGGATTTGGAGTTTAGATGAGTTTGGGATTCCAGTGGTTTAGGGGTTTCAGGGTTCGGGTTTTGTGTAGCAATGTTGCATATAAGTTCTCTTCAGGTCCTAGGATTGGAGTTTAGATGAGTTTAGGATTCCAGGGGTTTGGGGGTTTCAGGGTTTCGGGTTTTGTGTAGCAATGTTGCATATAAGTTCTCTTCAGGGTCTGGGGTTTGGACTTTAGATGAGTTAAGGATTCCAGGGGTTTAGGGGTTTCAGCGTTTCGGGTTTTGTTTAGGCTAGGACAGGCGTACAGGGTGTAATGCAATTTCACGCGATTTCACGCTTTTTCACGCTCTTTCACGCGAGACCTTTCTGAGGATGGTTTCCTGTATCATTTTTCACGCAATTTCACGCTACTTCACGCCTGGCTCTTGCACCTGCCTAGCCATACTTTGGTGATATTGCAGGGTGCTGGTCTCTATGAGGGGATGACTCTACCAAGATCTTAGGAATTTCTCCTATATAATGTACTCGGGAACATGCTATTGTATTTTAATACTTCTATATATAATACACATACACCCATCTATATATACATAATATATTATGTTTATTAGACAGCTGTATCTATATCTGGTCTATCTATATATATATATATACTAAATATATCTATTACTAACCTATATCCCGGGACCTTGCCTACAGGAAGAGCAGTGGGGTTCTACCCAGAGAGAACCGGATCCTTATAAGTCTCCTATTAGGCAACCGGTCACTAGCCGAAAAAGGAGGCCAAACACCAACAGAAGTAAACCACTGACAGCACACCCAAAAAAACCCAAGCCCGGACCCTGATCCTCTAATTAACAAGTAATAACAATGGACGGCCCAGCTGAATCTCAGGTTGTGCGGCTTTTGCTGGCCTGCGGGATCCTGGTTCTGCGCTCGTGTATCAGCTGGGCTGCTGCTGCGGCTACTGGGGCCAAATGCCAGAGGATGACTGTCATTAGATTGTTGCTGCGAGCTGATCCGACCATGCAGCCTTAAGGGCTTTAGCTGCTTTCCACGTTGCCTATATGGCCCCAGTAAGCTGCGGTTCCTATGAATTTTGGGCCACTGTAGAGTTTCGGGGGGTAGGGATTCTGCGGCTTCGGGCTTTTTAATTAATTCTTAGTAAACCAAGGTCCAAGCAGCACTGTGTCATGCTTGCAGTCGCAGACTCTCATAAATAGATGACAGGCAACAATTGTTCTAACCCCTGCCCGGCGCTTGCCCTGTAATCCCACGATCTCAAAACGAAGTTTTGGCGGAACAATGGGGCTTGGTGCCTTTGTGGTTACCCCTGGACACTTTAATTGTAATTGAGCTGACCTATCATCACATGATAATGTGGTTTCGGCTGGAGGCCCACATGTAGTCAACTAAATATACCTAGCTAAGCTAAAGAGGAATTTCACCCAAAGGCACCCAAACACCTCTCACGGCTTCTCTGGTCAGGAACAAGCGCAAGTCATGTAGGTCGGCGCGGTCCCAATTTGGCACCTCCTTGGTTAGGTTGAACCATGCTAATTTAAAATTGCTGAAGTGCTACAACACGTAATGTGCTTCCTAACCAGTTGAGTCTTGGGGCAAGAGTCTTCACGGCATCGACAATCATGCCCACGCTCAGCTGGGGCCCACGCTCTTCCTGACAAGCCACATGTACATATATAACTTAACATAGAGTCGCTAGAGCAAATAATTTTCATGGCATCGGGCTCCCTACTAATTATAACCTGCCTCCTGTCTGTTGTGATCGAGATGTAGATGGGCAACCGCACGTGCAAAACCTTTTGGATAAATCGCAGTTTCTGATAAGTTCTTCGTGCCAGTCCTCAGGTTTGGTTGCAACGATTCTAGACTCCACTGCTGCTTCCAGATGTGCAGAAAGCCTTTAATGGGACAGCCAAGGCACACAGCTGGCAGGCCACGGGGTCGCTTGACTCGTTTTACGACCCTGGCCGCTCCTTCGGCGAAATCCGTTTTTTTCTTCCGCGGCATGGTGTTGTGGATGCCGCGCAACCACCTCCTTATCACTAGTGGTAGCACTTTGTAGGGTGTCTAGGGTTTAATGATGTGAACTGAATCATATAAGGCTTGCACGAGCATCCCATCAAATAGGAAGCCTTGGCATTGCTGGCTCCATAGAGGCCCATCCAACTTAGTCGCAAAGCAAACATATTCAGATCAGTGCATGAGACATAGTTCAAGCAACGATCGACCGTACTCACACACGGGCATATTGGTGTGACAAGGGGCAAAGAACAAAGGTCCCAATCGCCTCCACAAAGAGTTAAGACATCCTTCAGGAAGATAAAGTGGGGAATGTGTTTGAGGGCACTTGAAGCTGGCTGCTCCACAGCCGACCAAACTTTGCGTACTGTTGCCACGTACAGAAGCATGCAAAACCTGCTGCAAATCATATTTGCAATCGTCACACCTCGGATCCAGAGTGTCTGGGGAGGCAGACGAATCTATTTCAGCTCAATTGGACATGCCTGTAATTAGGCTCCACATGTATATGATTGCAGTTGGGGAGCTGGGTCGGCCCTCAAGGCCCCATGGGTTTTCGAGCGTGCGCCCGTGAACTGATTTGGACATGAAGATCATGTTGCAGCATGGGTGGCCGCCCCAAAATAATCCTCCAGCTTGAAGTCGCAAGGTTTTTTTCAGCAGGTTCAGAAATCCTATGGTCGACAGAATATTTTCTTCCACCGGGAAATTCAGGATGTCGTAGGTCGACCTTGGAATTTTTCCCAAGTTCAATTGCAGCTTGATACCGACCTACCCAAGATCCTAGCTAGATTCGAACTTGAAGCACATAATTGAGTGCCTTACACACGCTGTCCCATCTCCTGGAAGGCGCTGGCAACATGACCCACCCCAGAGAACGCCTCCAGCAGCATCAAATCCTGAGCATGATTAGAAGTTACCCGACAAGATAGCTATTTGATCGAAGCCAAGGCATCGTCTCTGCACTGCGTATCGCCGGCCACCGTGGCGACATAGTGCGCCGCTTGCAACCTGAGGCATTGACTAGGCCACCCACACAGCCCCAAGTCTTGAACCTTTAGGGTTTGATGGGCTTGCTTATGGGGTGCGGGCTCCATGGTTCTAGGAAGTATTTTGAACTGTGTGCTTCATGGCTTAGCCCACTCCCTTCTGGCAGCTTCTTCGTATTGCATGCACCTGCAGTATCCTAACAAGTCAAGTGGCAAAAGTGTTGGCACACCCAATGCCACCAGCATGGCAGCAGAGGAACCACTCAGAGAGAGTGGAAAAATGGCCTCCATCCCTGGATGCCTGCCCCTGAACTTGGTATGTGTAGCCCCGCCTGAGTCACTCCCCGCCCTAGCTAAGGATCAAAGAGCCCGGCGTTGATCTGCTTCTCGTGTCATGACTGAATCGAACAGCAGCAAGCACAAGTAACACCTGATATGGCGATCAAGATGTTGTTTCGCGGGGAGCAGCATTCGAGAACACCATCAAATCAGAGCAGCTTTGCCACTCAACCTACCCTGGACAGATCTGCAGGCTTGCCCCAGCTCCAAATAAGTAATATTACTTTGTCTATTTTGTGCACAAGCTAGAAGCGAGCACAAACTGGAAGCATTTCGGTGAGCTTTCCGGTTGTTCTGGGGTACAACTAAGAAAGGTTTCAGGGTTT